GGGTGGCAGCTGTCCAATGATAGGCGGAGACTCCTTTCATCATTTTTCGGAAGCCTCAGAATACAAAGTGTCAAAGGAGGTCAAACTAAGGCCTGCTCATATAGGTCACATCAGGATCTCCTTGATGGGGACCTCAGGATCAGCGTAGTCGATCGTTAACGATATTGCGTAATATGCCAATTGTTGCCAATTGACGCTCGTGGGTCTTCTTAGTTTCTTTGCTATCTTTGTGTACCGGAATTCTCATTTTTTATCATGTCACTGGTTTGAATGTTTCGACCGTCCCTCCACTGTTTCATCCAAATGGGTAGTCAGAGGCAACCATCCAAACCGCCACAAGAGGTTGCATGGTTAATGGTTAAGAAGATAAACTGAAACAGCAACGCTATTCTTTTCAAGAACTTAATTATTATAGCATCAGAAAAGCAGTCTGAAGGCAAGAAATGTTCCTAATAAGTCATAATTCTACCTGTACCTGGGTTTTGATGTTAGTGGCGGTAGGTTTTTACGTTTTGTCGGAAAATCCTGGATGACATTTCACAAAGCTCAAACTCTGTGAGCGGATAATCAAGAATTTTTACAGCAATTTATGGTTAAAGTTAAAATGGCCACTTTTCCGCTACGGTCTTTTGTCGTGTGAGTTGACCACAAGGCAAGCCAACTGACCGTTCCGAAAATGGCTCTGTCGAAAATGGGGGATTGAATACAGGGCATACTGAAAATATGTTTTTTGTTCTGAAGCGGAATAGCTACTCAGTTCATTACCAGATACTGGGGAGGGATACAGTATCTTTATAACTACATTATTTTCCAATTTCCATAGTGTTCTCTATAATAAAAGTTCAGAGATGGACATTTTGAGCTGAAGACTGTTACCTGACCACCTATTTTTCCTCCGAATGGTTATTGTTCTTTACCCGTAAGTGGAGATTGTGTAAAAAACTGGGGATGTGTGAACGTGTCTGTCCGAATGTATGGAGGATGCACAAAGTGCTTGACAGACTTTCGAGTCCTGTAGCTCTGCGCATTGCACCTTCAAAGTGCAAAGTGATGCTGCAAGACTGGGTGTTTTCTACGCTGGCACTGATGCTTGATGGTCAACAATTAACTATAGTGGAATGTTTATCCTACTTAGGTAGCTGCGTGACAAATGACGGTAGCTTAGTCAATGAAGTAACTGCCCGCATCTCCAAAACTCGAGCAGCTTACGCAGGACTGAAACACCTTTGGCGTAGACGCAATGTTTCTTTGAAACTATATGTATATATATATCCTTACATATGCAGCGCCAAAAATTAACTGGTTTAACGAAAATATGGGTATAGAAGAGGGGAAAACAAAACAGTCAACTTGAGGGAATAAAAAAAGTTTTGTTTGTTTACTGTTGTTTATTTTTGCACGCAGGAGAATATGCACTTACGCCACTAACTTCGGTTCAATGCCGTATCACGCAGTGTCGCCA